GCAGACGACAACAACAACAAAAGTTTTAAAATTTCACTTAACCCCCAACAAGTGTGGGCACCAAAAAGTCAAATGGACAAAAGAAAATGACATTAGCAATAATAATTCAGTTAAAAACGTAATCTCAAGTCTTAAACTAGTTTTGAGTGTACATACCGCATTCACTGAACGTGGAACACGCATTATTTTATTGTCAGTACCACCATTGGTTGAATTGTACCAAATATTAATCATATAACGATTTTCATTTGAGGTCAAGAAATCATAAGCTGCAAGAGAGCCAGCAAGTATTGAAATAAGTATTAAATTTACCCATGATTATGGGATAACAGAAAGTCAAATGGATACCTGCGGTGATTTCATTAGATTTCTTCTCTTTATTCCCTTCCGGGTAACCCTTGAACAACTCGTCATTTACCAGTGAGGAATTATCACGCCACAAAGGTAAGCCTTCAATGCATGCAATCTCTGTTTCATGTTTAAAAAAGAAATAAAAAAGAAAATAAAGTGAAGTACTCAGGCAGAGGTAGCCATGCCTTATATAAACGAAGGATAATTCTAATAATCATGTCATCAATTAAGCACCAGTGCTCATTAAAAATGTCAAAGGACCCCCTTGCACTACACTAAAATTCCAAAGTTATGCTAAGGCTTGATGGTTTTAATTTTATACTCTCTGAAGAAGCATACATCCACTGCTAATATGAAGAATTCACCATACAAAATATACAAGACAAAAAAGCCAATTGCCAACCAGTTCTAAATTTAATTGTACTGATACAGAAGGTTATGTGGTTGCAGCATGAGCTATGAGATATTTTTCCTCTTTCTCAACTAGCCTTCTAGGTTTTCCTTCAAGGCATTGTTCACTATAAATGCCCTCTTGAGAACTTCAACACCATGTGATGCCAGGCTGAGATATATATAAAAGATTTGTTAAATTTTATTTAAGCCACTGGCCATTGTGCTCTATAACAATGTAATATTGAAGAGAAAAGTTTTAGATGACAGTGCAAAACCTTCTTGGAAACTCCTTTAGGGTTATTACAGTATTGAGGTTACCAAAGAGGAATAAAGCCTAACAATTTCTCTAACATGATTATAATAACAATTCTCTCATTTTATACTTCTCTGTTCTATTATAAAGTTGGACAGTCTTTCTCTGAGATTAAGTCAGTTTTTCTCCTAACTTATTACTCTTAAACAGTGTTTCCTTACATAAAAGAGGTTTACAGGTAATATGTTTTGTTCAACATATAGTTCCATCTATCGTATCTCTATGGCTTCACCTTTTTGCTTTGTTTCTTGTATGTTGTTTTCAACATAGACTTGAGCATAACTTTAACAGGGCAGAGAGAAATGTCTTAAACCCAAAGAAGATGAAACAAAAAGGAAAGAGAGAAATTCGGGTACACAACTGCTTCTAAAGATGGATTATGAACTATACACTACTACTCTAAACACGAAGTCTGTTTACATGGTTTGTTTTCAAAGAAGATGAAACAAAAAGGAAAGAGAGAAATTCAGTTACACAACTGCTTCTAAAGATGGATTATGAACTATACGGTATTAATCTAAACACGAAGTATGTTCACATGGTTTGTTAAGAAAGATTTTTGAAGATTCTATGTAATGACATTGAATTAGAGAAAATAAGTGGTGCACTTAAAGAAGGATGTCTACTATTCATCAAAAACATCTGAACTACAGCAAACACATCACTACTTGCATGATACGTCAAACACAAACTACTTAGAAGAGTCAAATTTTGCATCCGGATAATGTCAAGCGCTTTCAAAGGTATCTTAAGAGGGACTGCAAGATTTGGCATGCATCTTGGTTGAAGAACATGTAAAGGACTTGAAGAGTCAAATGCAGGTTCACCAAACTGGAAACCTCTGGCCCTTGAGACCATTAAATGTTCTTCAACCTAAATGCATGTGATTGAATAGACAAAATAAGTGGTGCACCTTTAAGAAGGGTGCCTACTATTCATCGTAAACATCTGAGCTGTAGCAAACATATATCACTACCGCATGACACCCAGCAAAAACTCCTCAAAAGGAGACATTTTGCATTTTGATCAGAGATTATATACCTTTATCAAGTTTTTTTGAAACTATCTGAAGAGGGACTGCAAGACTTCGCGTGCATTTAGATTGAAGGACATATAGTGGACTCAAAGAGTAAAATGCAGGTTCATCAAACTGGTTATCTCCAGTCTCTGAGTCTGTCCCCTATAACGTTTTCCAAAAGAATTTTTTTGTTTTAATAAACCATGCAGCCAGTAATAATAGAGGGAAAAAGAAACACGACAATCATGACAAAATTCATCATGCATGGTCAATTTAAGAGACTCACCATGATAGAGGCAGGTAGTGTGATCCCATATTCAGAAATATTTAAAGATAGCAAGCTCGGGAATAAGTTTTGCCCCACACCTGCCGCAAATGTTGTTAAGACATACTTGCTTATAACAATATGAAAGTATGACCAATAAATAATTTTTTGATGAAAAAACTTCACATACTCTCTGCAAAAGAACGATTTCCACCGGTCAAAAGTATAGTGGCAGGACACTTTTGTGTTCTTCTGCAGGACTCATCAGGAAGGTCTGTGAAGGGGATATAATCAGCTCTACAAGCACGGCTCTCAGGGCGAGGAACTTGGAGTAAAGGTAGCCATTTGGGAGGACTAGCGATAGGGCACTTAGGATTCATCGAGTTACCATCGCATTGTGCTTCAGGTTGTCTACTAATGATGTTATGAATTATAATATTGGCCACACCGATTAACAAACAGAAGATAACGGGGAATGAAATTATACAACAATTCGTCTTCATATTGCGTTTCTGGCAATAAGAACAAAAAATAATTGTCGTCATGCATAATATCACTTAGCACAAATGTGCCCAACCAAATGACTTCGAAATAAATAAATAATAAAAGATAATCACAATCCCTACATTAAGATAGCATATATGGTACTAAGTGGTTAAACCAGACCATCAAAATCTATTTTAATCTGAATCTAAATATGCTAAATCAATTAAACACAGGAACAATGCCCAAAATTTTTCAAAATAATAAGAACTTCCTTTTCAAATAATTTGCAAATCTTTTCAAAATATTCAAAAAAAAAGATGTTGTAAACAAATCATTTGTGTTCCTTGGTTACATTCTTTTTTATTATCTAAAGCTCATAACTAAAAATGCTAGAAATTTTTAATGAATATATGAAATCATTGATCAATTTCTTTCAAGGAAATGGTGACTAGGGAAATTCAATTAAATGGTAAAATAAAGAAAAATACTAGATTTTGACCGATAAGGGACTCATTTCATACAGAACTCAGTAACTGTACCCTAAATCTAAATTTTGACGTGGAAAAGCACCTTTATTGCAAAAAAAAAAAGATCAATATAAAAGGCAAATAATAACGATTTACTTCTATCTATAATTGAAAATAATTTGCAAACAATTTCAAATATTAAAATAACTGTTATTATTTCGTAATTAGTTTATTTTAATGACCATTAAAAAAAATTGTAACTGACAAATCTACCAATTTTTCATTGCATATATCAAACTATTGTTTGAAATATGTTTTTACGGATGTAAGGATGTGGGGAATTCAATGGGATGATGAAATGCAGATTGCATTATCACTCTATAGTCATTCGTTACTGACATTTTAAATTTTCATTCAATTTAGAGAAAAAACGGAGATCAAATAGTAAAATTAAATAAATAAAAACAGATTTTGAAAGGTTATAGAGTGATTAATCTTCTCATTTCATAACCGTAACCTAAACCTAAATTTTTGAGCAGAAAAACTACCTCAGCTCCATAAAATAATACGATCTATTGGGAATTGATCACAACAAGCAAGTTAAAGGAAAATAAAAATTCAAACTTTGATTAAAATTAGAGATGACGAACTTGAAAGGTGGCATTCTTTCGAAGAAGAGCATTGGCCTGAGTGACGAAACTCGCAGCTCCGAGGCCCTCCGATGAGTCCGCCATTGGACTCCTAGAGAGAGAAAGTGGAGGGTTCCCTGAAAGTAGAGAGAGAAAACAGAGGGAATTAAATCGAATCGAATGCGTAACAAGAAGGAGAAGAGTTGGTTTCTTTCAGGTTTGTGGCATGAAGGATGGGTGATTTCGTGCACGGATTTTGCTGAAACACCCACAGCTCTCGCCTCACTACTAAGTGGGTCCCACGGTGTAAATTGAATGAGAAAATAGTAGTAGTTCTTTTCTTTCCCCCCTCTCTTCCTTCTTTTTGGGAGCGGAAATGGATCTTCGTGCTGTTACTAAAATCTCTAAACGTTTTTTTTCTTGTTACTAAAATTCAAGTTCAGAATTTTCAACATACTAGAGTTAACATTAATCTTCAGTTTATGATTTTTTTTCATTAGCCATTTTCTGTCATTTTAGCCCATTTTAAATCAATCATCTTGGCTCGTTGGCTTTATTGTTCATCTTCCTTTTATAATGTTATTTTTTCAAGTGTTTTCACTTATATCACACTATACTTCCTCAGGTCAAGCTCGGTTTCATGCCGATCCAAATGAAATAAAAATTTAAATTGGCTTTAGATTATATTTATCTCCTGACAATTCAACTATCAATATAAAAATTTAAACTTGATGTAGCCTATTAAAACAAACATCAAATAAATAAATAATCAAAGTGTAATTGAGGAACAAATTTTATTAGAAAATAAAGCAAAAATACTTAATCAAAGTGAGCAAAATTTATTATCAAAGAGTAACCGATGAATAAATTTTAGTAAGAAAATAAACTAAAAAAATACATAATTACAATATTTAACCACGTGCATTGCACGTGCATAAAATCTAGTTCAAAAAAAATTCTAAATTTTTCAAAGTTAGAATGTACAAATTCAATCAAGAAAGAAAATATAAATTATATGATCAATTCTAAAATCTGATATTATAATCCTCCTGCATCTTCTCAACTAATTAATTAATTTGTCAAAACGATTACTCTCTAATTTCAGAAAACTATAAAATATAATCTGAGAATGATTTAAACATATTTTGTAAAACTATAAAATATAATCTGAGAATGATTTAAACATATTTTGTACACATATGGATTGTATTTTAACAAAATAATTTAGATCTATCATCTGAGAATGATTTAAACATATTTTGTACACATATGGATTGTATTTTAACAAAATAATTTAGATCTATCAATTATTAAATAGTGTCCAAAAGGTTAGATTAAAGAGTTAAAAGAAACTAATAACACTCATATCCAAACTATATGCTTCATAAAGTTGAGACATATAAAATGAATAATTTATTTTGTTTTGTTAAATAATTTATTACAAATCATAAAAGATAAGGAAAACCATAAGGATCACATAGTCATCACAAATAAAGATTAAATTTCTCTCTTTGAATTTTGTAGCAAAAGATTTTCAGAGATACTGATAGACTTGCTATAAAATCCACTCTTATAAGATTGATGTCACATGTGTCTTAACAAATTTAGGGTGTTGTAGTTAATCTATCTCAACTTCAAAATTTTGATTTAATCCTATGAATTTTTCTCAGTTAACCCATCAAAACTAATAGCATTGAGTCGAATTCATTATGTGATAAGTGCTTGACTTGGTAAAGTCAAAATATCCCTCAACCATAAAAGAATTACCTTAATTTTTGATAGATGAAAGAAAAAGTGAAGATTTAGAGGTAAAAAGAACTGTAAATTGGTCGTAATCCTTTCATTATCGGCTGAGAGTTTCTTTTTAACTAAAATGGCTTTCTTCAACAGGGCATTTTGACAAAATCACATATTAAAGTCTTTTAAATTAAGGGGGTATATATAGGACATGCTAAGTCGAAGGGTGTTCTCTAAAATCGCACCAAAGTTGAGAAAGTTTATCTACAGCACCTCTATAGTTAGGGGGCTTTGTCAAATTAAATTAGTTAAATAGTTTTTTTGAGACATTCACAATAGTTGAGAGAGTTTTCAAAAAATTAACTATTATTTTAAATTTAGCTTATTTACATATTTGTCCCTCAAATGTTTTATAATTCAATATTAGTCCCTAAATTATATTTACATATTTGTCCCTCAAATGTTTTATAATTCAATATTAGTCCCTAAATTATAAGCAATTTTAAAATTTTAAGGGAATAATAATTCAATATTAGTCCCTAAATTATAAGCAATTTTAAAATTTTAAGGGAATAATGTAGAATTATTGGATATTTAAAATCAAGGAAATGATATCTAAATTATCTTTAAATATTGCTCTTATAGGCAATATATGAAACATCGACAAATATATTGCTATATCGATTGATATAAAAGGTTAAATACTTTATCTTGATAATATTTATGGTTTTATTTTGTTTTCTTTTATTTGGGGATTTTTCTCATATATCGAACATTATCGAAAATATTGGCTGGTATAACAAAATCGAGTCATTTTTAATTTGATTGTGGGCTTGGTATTGGGTCGTGTATGGAAACCAAAACTAAAGTACAAGCACAAAAGCCACAATTCATATCCCAAATCTCTCCACTCTCAGCTCTCCTAAATCTTAAGCATATATCTTGACACAAATTCTTATGTTGAAAATTCATTAATATCCGAGATTATAGATTACAATGTTATATTATGTATGAGCATTATCTCATATAACACCCAGATATTTTTTACATAATCCCGATTATTGCAATCCAATATTATGGATTTTATTTGTCCAGCATTTATATGATGCCCAACACTTTGTAGTAGTCATTCAAAAGCCTCTTCTAAAGCTTTCTAAGCAAAGTATATGAATTCAGAAATAATTCAAAATATGATGCTTTAATTTTTTCACATTCCTCTAGTATATAAATATAAGCTAACCCTCTGGCCTCATATTATATGATGTATATTATTTATCAAAGAGATCACATACTATTGGTTGTGGTTAACAAAGACTTTAAATCTTTTTTTGCTTAATTAAATTAAATACCTTACAATTTATAAAAGTTTCAATTACATACCTCCACTTGTATCTTGTGCACTTAACTATCCTAATTTTTTTTTCAAAATTGCATGTCTGTACCTTCTATACACTAGAATACTATTTGTAATTGTCCTATATGAATATAATTGTATAATTTTACGATAATTCTATATTTTCTATTCTTTCCATTAATAATTTATTAACATGTAATTGTCTATTAATATATTATTAGACATTACTAATAATTAATATAAGAGTTTTATAATAACATTAGAAGTTTTAGGGACCGAGTTAGACAAACTTGAAGTGGCATATAATATGATTAATTAACAATAATAATTAATTTAGTTTAGTTAGGATTAAAATATAATATTTAAAAAATTAGGATAATATAAAGTTTTTCTACAACTTTCTCCTTTAGAGGGAGTATAATATAATTCTAAGTGAAGTATATAATTTTATTTATAATTCAAAATCTTGAGACTTATTCAAAATATGGTGCTTAAAATTTTTAACATCTTCTGTATAATATAAATATAAGCTAAGTCTCTCGCTTCATATTATACGATGAATATTATTTATCAAATGGATCACATACTATTGCTTGTGATTAACAAAGACTTTAAAATTTTATAGGCTTAATTAAACATAAATACCTTACAGCTTACGAAAGTTACACTCATATACCTTCACTTATATCTTAATGCATTTAAATATCCTAATATTTTCTAAAATTGCATGTTTGTACTTATGTATGTAAGAATACTTTTTATAATTTTCCTATGTGAGTGTCATGGTATAATTTTAGGATAATTTTATATTTTCTACTCCTTCTAAAATAATTTATTAACTTGTAATTATCTATTAATATGGTATTATGTATTATTAATAATTAATATGAGAGTTTTACAATAACATTGGAAGTTTTAGGGCCAAGTTAGACAAAATTGAAGTGACATGTAATATGATTAATTAATAATGATAATTAATTTAGTTAATTTATGATTAGAATATAATATTAAAAAAGAATAGAGGGAATATAGTCATAAAAAGTTTTTCCACAACTTCCTCTTTTAAAGGGAGTATGATACTTTATGGGTAAATTACAGATAACCCACATGATCTTTTGGGGAGTTGCAGTAAACTCCCATCATCTTTTTTTTCATTAGACTAAATTCGTCTACAATTTAGGAGTTATTGTAATGTTATGAATTATTTTATTTTCACTGATCTTATCTAGAAAGTTATCTTTTAATCTTCATATCAGCATCATCTAGGATGATTTTAAGGAGGGACCCTTAGAGGCAGACTGTGGACTCCCGAGTTTTATACTTTGGGGCCTTTTTGGTTAGATGGAAATAGATTTGCAAATATAAATGTAGCAATTGTATTTGTAGATACATTATTTGATTAGAACTTTGTAATTAGGAAAGGTAAATGTACTTACATTTTGTTAAAAAAAACTTACAGCAAATGCTACAGCCAATTTAGTAGGAGGAAAAGTTACAAACTTCAGACAAGAGAATTAATTAATAAAAATAATCCCACCTCATCAAAAAATTCTTTTTAAATAAAAATTGAAAATTCATCTACATTAAAGTTTCCTTATATAGCACAATCTTTTAACTTTTGTTTAATTGTTTTCCAAACAAACACTAAAATTGCAGTTACAAATACATTTCTTATAATATAATTGCATATATCCAAATATTGAATTTAAAGTTTATTTACTGTAACAATTGCTACATGCAACATATGCTGCTGTAAATTTTGCTGCTATTTATTTTTGCAGCAAAAAATTATGTATATATAATTAACTCCTTATCTTTCCTACATTGGGGAAAAAATTATTTGGAAATAGAACGCTTGTTAATTCACTCAGGGGCTGTTTAGTTGTATGTTAAAAGGATGGAAAGTGTAAAAAAGTGGGTCTCAATGTCAGCTTTCATCACTTTTAATTGTTTATTTGTAGTTATGAAAATAGTGTAAAGTAATTTCATATCCTGATGTGGCTTGTAAAGTGATTTCATAAAAAAAGACATGATTTTAGGAGAAAACTGACATTGAAGTCAGAAAAAATAATAAAAAATAAT